TCTATCAATGATATATTGCTTGTTTTTATTCCAGCAACACATCTTTTTCTATAGCTGATACTTCCCTATAAGTTGCAGAGTGACCATTCATAGTGCTAGATTTAGTATAAGTATTTAATTTAGTTTAACTGCTATTATAATGTAAATTTTAATATAAGGTCATGTGATAGATCTAATTGGGCTTTTGTGGCTATGGTAATAATTGAAGCACCATTTAGCTGTATCCCAACAAATGCATGGGCCAGCTTATTAGCAGAAATACAATTACTTGGATTGCTTACCTTACTAGTATAGTAGCCTGGAAGTTGGAACTACATTGTGTGGAGTATAAGTGCATAGTGTGAATGTAGCAATATTATATGCAGAGAAAATGCATAAGGAATTAGGCATACATTCCTGTTTCCCTATGTTGTATATGACTGTATACCTATGTTTTACACTGTATAGATCTATGACTGTATATCACTGTTTACCTATGTTTACCACTGAGTGTTTAAGACTGTATATCACTGTTGACCCATGTTTACCACTGTCTATCAATGTTTACCACTTTTACCTATGTTGATTACCATTTTTACCTATGTTCACCACTATATATCAATGTATATCAGTATTTGCATATGTTTATTATTGTTTGCCACACTTTGTCAATGCTTATCAGTGATGTTTAATGTTGTTTATTCTTGTTTATTATGTTTACCATAGTTAATAAAAGTTCTTTAACATTAATATTTACCATGAGTCCATGATGACAGTAGTTTGGATAAATCATTGGTTTTAAATCAAGCCCCATATGACTTTGCAAGCTTCTTTTCTCTAGTGTTGCTCTTTTAAACATTTTTAGCTGATAAATGAAGGCTAGCACTAGCTATAAGGAATTTCTATAAGCCTCGGGGACTCAGTTTTTTTGATTAAATTTTTTAATAATTTAATTAAAAATTTATGAACACAGATGGACAACCAAAGTACCTATTACTCACCCACATGGCAAGTCCAATAAAGAACAAAAAGTAAACATCAAGGGTAATTAAAAGTCAAATTATTCACTTATTTTCATGTCTTTATGCTATGATTTTGATGATAAATCACCAAGAGCACTTTCAGAGGAAGTTGCAAATGATTTTTCTTCATGATATAAGAAGTTTAAATACCTTTTTGTCAATGCTATTACTTTATTTCCAGCACTTTTAACCGACCTCCACTTAAGTATGAAGTTCAAAACGCTCAATGGTATCAAACTCATTAGCATGTATGCAGTGAAACTCATGTATGGATTGTAGATCTTATCAAATGTTCCTCTATCACATTTTTCAGGGATGTGACCAAATGCTTCACATTCAAAGTATTCTCGTAAAGCCACTTTAATTTTGCCAGATTTTGCTTCTATGTCACTGACATACCCTAATATGAAAATACCAAAAATAATGAAGAATGCAAAAACCAATAGGATTTTTTTCTCAGCAGTGCTAAGCTCAGTATGGCTTTTCTTTTTCAAAAAAATTGTTTTCTATTAATGAAATTTAAATAATTATAAAATCAATATTTTATTGTACATACATTTCTCAGAGTCCAAAGAACTATAATCAGCATTATAACTCCAGCAGTAAATAGTAAATCTATTGGAAGTGTTGTAGAATAGAACCACATGTCACCATTGCTGCTGCAAAGAGTTGTGGGGAAACGATGGATATTATATTTGAATTTATCAACAGTAAGGCAAATGATAATAGCTGGCAATGGAAGTAGTAGAGCTATGTATAGGAAATGGATTATTTTAAAATTAATAAATGCAATAAAACTCACACAAAATAGTTACAGTTGCAAATATGTACTTGTTATGTCCCAGCTTTTCAAATCTATTTGCTTGGAAGGGAAACAATACTTTGTGAAAGAATATAGCAACATGAAAGAACCACCATAATGCCATATTTACGATAGCATAATGAAACACAACTCCTATATAAATGTACATGTACACTAATAATAAAAGTTTTAGATATGTGCTTAATTTTACCTGAAAATTTACAAAAAGGTGTTGGGTTTTCAAGTGTCTCCAATAGACTAACTGAACTGCAGTATAGTCCATTCCGATCAATAGCAGTTATGATTAGTAATATGGCTATAGGTAGGTGAACATCAAATGGAATATTATTTTATGCTCTTTACCATATGCAATCATGTCTATGACTTGAAAGAACACCAATACAGAAGGATATGCCAGCCTGAAATGATACAATGTTAGATAAATTTATGATGGAATGGCAGTCACTAACGATGTTTTATATTCCTTGATAGCAACAGCAACTGTGACAATGCAAAAAATTAAGCCCATACTGGTTGCAACAACTTCCGAATGGATCAGTATTTGTGTGTCTAAATGAGAGCTTTGTTCAAAACTGTCACATCTTGGCTCACAGATTAAATTTGTTTTAATAAAATCTTCTCTGCACACTATACCATTGGTACCATTGGTATCATTCATGCTTTTAATGGGAGTCATGACAGAAGATAAATTGTTGATAGCTGTATAAAGTTTAAAATATTAGAAACTGATAAGATTATTATCATACCATTTGGCAGTGTAGAACAATCAGGTAAGAGTGAGCCATACCCAAAGCTATTTGCTAGTGTCCACAGGTCTGAACAAACACCTGTACTTATGAGGAGGCAGTCTTCCTTGGTAGCCTTGTAAGATTTTCCAGTTGAGCAATCAGCAAGTGGAAAGAAATATTGACATATGAAAGCTGATGATTGTTGTTGACATTGCTTGTAGTGTTCTTACAAATACATTAAAATGAAAAATTCATAAACCAAAGTGATTACCTAAATAAGGACTGAGTGATCCGATTGTCTGTTCGTGTTGATTTTGTTCTTGTTGACTTACTCCAATATTCAATTCACCTTCTCCAATGGTACATTGAAACCATTGATGTAAGAAGTTTCTACAAGCAGTTCCAGTATACTCATGACATTCTGAGGCATCATTATCCTGACTCCATGATAGTCTGGGGCAGTTTTGGCTTACATTATTGTTGTTGATTGCTCCTTCGCTAAGATTCCCATTGTTATTGGTGCCTGAATCATACTTATTCTAAATTGAAAGTTTGTAAAGATATTAATAACTGCTGTACATAATTTGCTGCATGTTAAATTGATGTAGATCTATGCACATGCTTAAATCACAGTAAACTTATGTGTCAGTTGAATACTGAGTCAAATGCATTAGGTCTTGGTGACATTACTCTAAGATCTTATGTCTTATCTTATATACATTTTGCATTGTATTTTTGGATGGCTCAAAAGTTAAAATATAATAATTATTGTGAAGACAAATTGATTTAAATTTCAAACGTGATGCAATAACTATAGTGCTTGTTTGTTAACTAAGATATCACAGTTCACTAGTATTATACTAGTTCACTAGCAATCTAGCATCATTAAGTAGAACACTTACTGAAGTAGATCTATAGTAGACTATTATTGGAACTGTGAATAAGCCCAGCACCACAACAAGAAGAACAATGAAAAGAACATTCTCAATCTTCTTTGCAATGACCAGCTCCTTCTTTCCTGTACTGCTCATCTTGGTAACTAATGGTATTCATAGCTTGTCAGCCTATTTATAACTCCTCCCAATCTAAAATTAATCATTATTTTTACCGGACACAGTGGCAATTATAATAACACCTCTAATCAATTTAGTAGTTTACGCATGTCCTTATGTGATGTACTGCTGATCAAATTTGTATTTTAAATAAATTTTTTAAAATTTATTTCATCAAAATTGACTGGGTAGGAAATTCCATTTTTTTATTTTTTAAACTGTCAAAAGTTTGATCTGATTTTTTGAAGGGACTTTGGCCAATTTTTGCCAAAAATGACTGAAAGAGAATTCTCCTTTTTACAATTTTTCTGATGCATATAGATCTACATGTACTTATGTTATGCAGAAACTTTAAACTAATTTGACCAAAATTGGATTTAAAAAAATTTTTAAGTTGCTAAAAATTGTGCGAAAGACCATACATAAGCTACATGGTCTTTGGCTTTTATCTAATAATTAATGATAATTAATCCTTATTCAATCAATAAAGAATCTTCAGTCACAAAATATCAGTCACAGTCACACTCATACTTAAAGGAAAGCATACTCAAGCTTTCATTGGTTATTCTTCTTAACATTATTTGTTTGCTAAAAGTAATGTTGTACAATGTATTGTAATACAATAAGGTTCACATTAATTCACTTTGATACAATCAGAACACACAGTTTCTGCAAGTGTATACATGTATGTGTCAATAATAATGTTCATTATTCAATAGTGACTTGTTTCATTATACACATTATCTGCTCTCCTTTCTCATTGTAAGCAGTTCCTTTAAAATAATACTGACCCTATGAAATAGAATAGTAATAATGATACACTGTATCTGTTACTCACTGGCCATAAGATGTTTGGTAGTCTAGAAGGAGTGTTTATATGATATATTCCTGGTTGTATTGGACAATATTCTTTAATAATATCATCTAAGAAGTCGCATAAATTGAATTTGTCATCCAAGAAAGTAATATTAGTGTAACCCCTGTAATTGTATGTTGCTGTGGCATGTACTATACCCCAATGTATGGTTCTCTCTACAAATAGATTCATGTTTATTTATAATTGTTGTCACTCACTGATCTTTACTACTCCTTGCCAATGGAATTCTACCCCACGTTTTAGTGGGTATGGAGTCACTGATAAGTTGAATTCAACAAATTTCTTAGTAACAGCTTAAAATTGCTAAAATAATTTGAATAGTGTATTACTGAACTTACAGCAATCTGTTAATGATCCATTATTATCAGTAGGTTCTTGTTGTTGATAGTATATATAATTCAAACAGGTATATTATCCATTAGTATAGTAGTCAGTATCTTACCATTGTAGTAATTGTTAGTAGATCCAGTCAATGTAGATACTACTAGTACAACTGATAGGATCATCAATAGGACACTCATCTTCTTTCTTACTACTATTTTGCTGATATGCGTAGTTGTGTACATAAAAGTGATACTGTGAGTTCTCCCTTTTTCTGTTATGTTGTTACATGGTTTACTAAACTCTGATGTATGTCTTGAACTTGGAAGGAATAACATATTTATTACATGTTTTTCGTTACAACTAGACTTCAGAAAATATGCCTTTTACATCACTATCATGGTGTTAAAGCAATGCATGTAGGCCTTGAGGTTGTCAAGGAGCAGACACTGTGGCATTTTGCTCCAGACTTTATGGTGAAGCTATGAAGTAGTCTATAGACCTTTTCACACTGACAAAAGCAATGTGCATTGATGCGCATTAATCGTGTTCACACTAGAGTGGTTTCAAATTGATGCGCATCAATGCGAATCACTCTCACTTCACCTCCAGAGGTGGATTGATGTGAAGTGATGCCCTTGGATCAATATAAACCAATGGCAACAAGAACACAAATGATACATGATTCAGCTGCTAGTGTGAACAAGATCAATGCGTTGTATCAACAAAGTACACTTACAAGTTACATGGTTTACTAAATAAACACAATCATGTGTGTCTTGGACTTAATTAGAATAACACACCATGTATTTATAGCA